CAGAGGAGCTCCATGGACAGCCGTGGTCAGTTTGGCTAATTCAGGTTTTCTTTTGAAGATAGAAAATGTAGAACTTTTCCCTCGGAAGTCTGTCACCAGGGGAAGAACTCTTGATCTTGAGCATATTGCCATAGCTTTAAGACAGAGGCTGTGTGCCAGATCTGTGCCAAGCCTCATTCTTACAAATAATAGCGGGGACTGGCAGTCTGCTAATTAGCCTACATCATTTTGCTGTTCGTGTGACGTTCCTGCCACCAGTCATGTCGCAGGCCAATCAATTCCCTACCCTAGTGGGCTGTCCCCGCCTCCATGCCCCACCAGCACCTGGAAAAGCTTAGCAGAGCTGAAGAACAGTGAACAGCTGTCACCAGTGAATCATAGTTTAAAGAAAAGTTGAAAATAGACAATTATCCTCTTAACCCACAATTTGGTAGATACAGTGGTGTGACTTCCCACACACCTACCTCCAAGTCTCCCAAGCCCCTCTCCTCTGCCATTTCCTTTTCTGTCTTCAGTTTCCTCCCCAGCGTGCCTCCATCTCTGCCTTTCTTTTCTCTTTCCTCCCCTGCATCTCCTTCTGCTCCCTTTTCCCTCTTTCCCTCACCAGTCTCCATTTTCCAGCCTTTCTCCCCTGATTGTTTCTTTCTTTCCCCCATCAAAGGACACCTGTAGAAATGAGGCATTGTGCCCCGTGTTTGTATTCGAAGCAAGAGCTTTTTGCCTTATTCTTCACTTAGGCAGCAGGTGAGCCACTCCCAGTTGACTCCTTTTCCCTGGAGTCAGTTATGTGCCTCGGAGCACAGAGCAGCCGCTCTGTGACCTCTGCCCTATGAGGCCACTAGGAGTTCTTTCATTAAGGGACCTGAGTTAGGGTTTGTACAAGCTGAAAATTTTCACAGTCCTTGATACATGTTAATCCTCCATCAGATTCATCGTATTGTTCAGTCGGTCCCGTGGGCTTTCCTGCATGACCAGTCTTCAACAGAAATGTTGCCTTATAAACTCTCCTTCACACATTTACTGTGGTTGAGTATTGCTGAGCACACATTGTTCAAAGGGCAGCCCAGTATGGGAGAAGAAAGAGTTCTGTTTGACAGAAGACTGCATCCTGTCCCAATCCAGTCCTGCTGGGTACATAATGGGACACTTGTAGCAATTAGCTCAACGTGGGATGCTCGGTTTCCAGCCTCAGTTGTTGAGTGGTGACTGTGATCAGTGAAAACACCTTGAAAGTTATACTTTGTCACACAAAAGCAAGATGGTAGCCACAACATTAGATATCCTTTCATTACATACCCTTTCATTAGATATCTCCAAGATACACCTTTGGGAGAAAACAAAAATTCATCTAATTAACTAAAGTATTATTTGGTGCCCTAAATACATGAAACTGACCCATGAATATTTTTGTTACCCGATCTTTTACATAACCCAAGTTTAGTCAAGTGAAAAAAATTGTTCAATACGTTGACTTGTACACATGTTGTCTGTATCATATATGTCCAAATTAATATAAAGAATTGCTAAATTGGTGGCCAAGTGTGGTGGCTCACGCCTGTAATCCCAGCACTTTGGGAGGCCAAGACAGGCAGATCATGAGGTCAGGAGATTGAGACCATCCTGGCCAACATGGTGGAACCCGTCTCTACTAAAAATACAAAAATTATCCAGGCGTGGTGGCATGTGCCTGTAATCCCAGCTACTCGAGAGGCTGAGGCAGGAGAATTGCTTGAACCAGGGAGTCGGAGGTTGCAGTGAGCCGAGATCACACCCCTGCACTTCAGACTGGTGACAGAGTGAGATTCTGTCTCAAAAAAAAAAAAAAAAAAAAATTACTAAGTTGGTAAATTGGCAAAAGGGGATTAACTCTACTAGGGGATAAAGATAACTCTGAAGCAGGCTTTGCCCTTGGACCAAATCTGACTGCTGCCTGTTTTTACAGACAAAAGTTTTATTGTAACACTGCCATGCCCCTGTGTTTACTTATTGCTGTGGCTGCTTTTGTGCTGCAATGGCAGAGTTGACCAGTTGTGACAGAAACTGTAAGACTGGCAACGTCCTTTACAGGAAGAGTTGCCGACTTCTGCTCTAAGAATACAGGAATAGCAAATGCGGGAACAGAGACAGATCCCCAAGGAAGGAACAAAGTAGGAAGAGCCTCTTACCCCAACCCAAGGCAGAGATTCCAGCCTAGCTGTAGAGTGTGATTGTGGCCCAGGGATGGTGGCTGGTGGCCAAGGTTGCTGAGGTGCTGTGGGCTGGAGCTGGTGGGCAGGGAGCCACCCACTGGGGGAAGCTGCTGAAGGAGTGGCAGCAGGGTTCCCGAGACAGCGGCCTGCAGGGGTACCAGTGCAGATTCCTGGAGGGCGTGCCCTTGGGTCTCTCCCAGAAAGCCTTCTGGCTGCCCTCCCGTAGGAACAAAGCCAACAACAACAACAACAAAACCCAAACCCAATAGCATTAGAACCTGGGAACAGCCCATTCTCAGCAGTGTCCCTCCACGCCCCTCCCTGTCCAGAGCTCGTAATGTACCTCTGCCTTCTGACAGTCTGAAGAATCCTGGGCCTTACCTGGAGTGAGCGGGGCCAAGGGCCCTGTGTGAAGGGGGCTGCACCCGGCTGAGGATTCAGTTCTGCCCAGCCTTGGGCTGTCATGAAACAGTCCCCTGGCCTGTGGTTATGGGGCAGCCACCAAGTAAGCCAGGGAGAACGTGGTGCCTACCCCAGTCTGCAATGTTGGTCCATCTGACCTCTTTGTAATGGAATTTTAGAAAGCTATGTGCATATTTGGGTTTTATTAGGAACATGGTTATGGTTCCTAAGGAAGATGTTACTAATCACGACGTCCATCCATTTGGCCAACAAGAATTTATTGACTGGTTACTCTATACAGTGTGACAAACAAAGGAGTGAATCATTTTTTTAACTAAAATATTTCGAAAAATATTTTCTGTGGAAATTCTTATTTAGAAAATAATTTGTATAAAGTTTTTTTTGCCTTTTTTGAATGTAAAAACAGTTTACTGTTACTGACATTTCACAATATAGCTTTAATCTTTTGATTTTGCATGTTTTTAATCTGTCCACATAGCACATATTTTACTTAATCACAATAATTGCGTACTTGTTTGGGCATTGCTTTTTTCCTTAGTGTGTCAAAATATCTTTATAGAGACTCGTTTAATCAAGTAATTGGAGTTAAATATGAGCATGTGTATGTCAAATAGGTAAAGCAAGTTGACTGCCACTTCAGACAACTCCAGAATCTCAGAATCTCAGTAGTACGTGTTTGAGTTCTTGCTCCTGGGCATTTCAGTGCCTGTTTTAAGCAGACAGTCTTCTGCAAGGGGACTCAGGACCCAGACTCTTTCCATCTTAGGCTCCATCCTTTCCTCGGGCCACCCAGTCCAGTGTTGGATCCTGTGTGTGTGGCTGCAGAGGGAATGGGGGGCACGTGGAAGGCTTTTGTGGGCCAGATAAGGCAGTGGTCACATCTTTTCCACTTGAATGCAGTTGGTTAGAAGACAGTCACAAGTCTGCACCAAGCCACGAGGAGGCTGGGAAATGTGGTCCACCTGTATTGGGAAGCAGACAGGTTTTGGAAACAAATAACAAGCCTCAGTCATAATTGCCAATTTAGATGCCACATACAAGATGGCTTTAATATACTTCTTATATATAGTCATTTTAATATAGAAAACATTTATTGAGATTATATATATCAGATGATTATTAATAGTTTCAAAAATAATCTTATAGTACTATTGATATAATGGACTTAATTACTTCCTTTTTTTTGTTTGTTTTTTTGAGACGAAGTCTCGCTCTGTCACCCAGGCTGGACTACAGTGGCATGATCTTGGCTCACTGCAACCTCCGCCTCCCAGGTTCAAGCAATTCTCGTGCCTCAATCTCCCTCGTGTGGCAGGGATTACAAACGTGCACTATCACACCTGGATAATTTTTGTACTTTTTCTAGTGACAGGGTTTCACCATGTTGGCCAGGCTGGTCTCTTAACTCCTAACCTCAGGTGATCTGCCTACCTTGGCCTCCCAAAGTGCTGGGATTATGGGCATGAGCCACCGTGCCTGGCCTGGATTTAGTTACTTCTGATAACATCTTATATATGCCTATGTTGGCATTTGGCATACTGTAGTATAGTTAGTTGAATACGTATCTTTATCCCTAACCTAGCCCAGTCAATGCCTTGCATGTGGAAAATGAGTGACAGTGACTGATGCTAGATAAAGAGATTTTAACCAAGAGGTCTAACTTTGGAAATAGCTAGAAAGGGCGTATTTCTCTTTTTTCCTACTTGCTTGTTACCTCTTTCTCCTGCTTAGTGCGTGCTACGGATGGATGTCCCCATCCCTTAGGATTCACCCATGAGCCCTGGTTTAAGTAGTACCTGCCCCCCGCCTCCACTCCAACCCCTCTGCTTGCCTTGGTTTGGGTTTAGCTCATTATCTTACTACCTTTAGGTATTACATATTAAAAATAAATATCTGGGGAGAGGCAAGGAGATTTTGAGACTCAGAGAAGGGTTTCTTGGAGCTTTATCTGAAATAATGAGTCCTGTGGATATGTTTAGGCCCTGAGCCAAGAAGGGATGGTATCATGGCTGGAGCCATTCTGGGCATCTGGCCTTGACTGTCATGCCATGGCTGGACCCCTAATCGGGGCAGCTCTGGCAGACCCTAAGGCTTGGAAGGGGACATATTTAGTCAGGGATGACCCAAGAAATGACTGGAAGCTTCACCAGAATGCAGAGCTTTCCCTTTGCTTAAATAAGTGGACAAGCTTCACTCTATGTAGCAGGACACCATTCAGCATTTTTTGTCCCTTTGGAAACAACTCTTATTTCTATTTCTTTCTGATAGCAAAACTAACATACTCTAATTGTAGAAAATACAAAACAAAGAGTAGAATATATTAAGTTCTTTATCATAAGAAATGGCATTTGTTTATGAGAGTGTCTTCTTTATCTTTTCGCCTTCCAGGCAAAGCCAAAGCTAATTGAGCCACTCGACTATGAAAATGTCATCGTCCAGAAGAAGACCCAGATCCTGAACGACTGTTTACGGGAGATGCTGCTCTTCCCTTACGATGACTTTCAGGTAAGTAACGTTGCTTCTGTCCATAGAACCGTGTGTTTGATCTTGACAAATAGCATTTTTCTATGTATTGATTAATTGTTTGGTTAGTTAATTATTATTATTTTTTTTGAGACACAGTCTCGCTCTGTCACCCAGGCTTGAGTATAATGGAGCTATCTCAGCTTACTGCAACCTCCGCCTCCTGGGTTGAAGCGATTCTCCTGCTTCAGCCTTCCAAGTAGGCGGGATTATAGGCGTGCACCACCACGCCCAGCTAATTTTTGTATTTTTAGTAGAGACAGGGTTTTGCCATGGTGGCCAGGCTTGTCCTGAACTCCTGGCCTTAACTGATTGGTCTGCTTCAGCCTTCCAAAGTGCTGGGATTACAGGTGTGAGACACTGTGCCTGGCCTAATTATGATTTTAAAAGATGAAAATAAGATGTTTTAAGAGAGAAAAGTTATTTTATAGCCTTTCAATGAATTGATAATTTTTAATGGTATTATTTTTGTATATTAATTATATGTATGCAAAAATGTACACGCGCGCGTGTGTGTGTGTGTGTGTGTGTGTCTTGAATAAAAGTGCTATACTCTGTCCAGGCTGACTTAGTGGGCACAAGTGCTTCTGTGTCTTATGAGACCTGCTTTGATTTAGACTTTTTGGCTAAGTACCTTAGAATCTTAACAATGGGCTTTGCTGGGGAGCAGTGGAAGATTTTGTCATGCAGTTCTTAGGATGGCACTTTGGGAGCCTGCCTTCAGAGGCCGTGCACTGTGTGTAAGCTCCCAGCAATGGGTCGAAGGTTAGCCAGGAATGTCCTGAAGTTTACCTCTCTAGTGTAATGTGGGTGCTATTCCTTGGAAGAAATGTGGAGGACTTGGCACAGCTCCTGCTGTGAGCTGCTCTCAGGCTATGGCCTGTGGTTAAGAGACTAACAAGAAGCTGTGAGGCTGTTGAGGAGGGAGAATGACATTCTTCCTTCAGGAAACCCAGTGGAGTTAAATGCTTTGCAGCGAGTCACCTTGGTCCATTTGGAGGTTCTCGTTACTTTCCTTGCTCTCCCGAGACCTCATCCCGGCACTTCTTTCTTCTCTCCTTCGATGCTCTTTGGCTCGTAATTGGACGATTCTCTACTTGATGCTGTTACCATTTAAGCCTGTCTTTTGTGAGCCAAGCTGCCTTATCTTTTTTTAAGCTTCATTGATTCTTTCTTGTTTGATTCAAAAAGTGTTATATCCATGTACAAAAGGATAAAGGGAAATATCGAAGTAATTGACATGAAAAACCTCCCCACACCTTCTTTCTAATCCCACCCATAGAACATAACCCACTCTATACAGCTCTGTGCATACTTCGTTGTCTTTAGAAACTTACATGTTAACAGCAATTGCTAAATTATGATCCTTGAAGTTTTTTTCCCACCAGATTTAAGTGACTCCAGCTTACAACAGAGGTGAGAATTTTCATAAATGTTCACTCTAACTTATTAGAGATACATGGGCCCCCAAATGATGATTTTTTAGCTCTTTCCTGTAGAAAAGAACGCCCATGGGAATGAAATCACCATTCGTGTGGCATTGCTGCCAAACTAACTGGTAAATGGTTCAGGTCATGACAAAAACACCATGCTTTGCATACTTCGTCACATGACTAAACCGCACAGGAAAGGACAAATAAGTGGGAACCTCTGAATGATGCCTTTTGCCTGTGATTTGGCAACAAATGAAAAGCAAAATCAAATGAATATAAATTATACTCCATGTTGACAAGATTTTCCTGTAGTATTGTCTGAGGAAGCTAAAGGTTATCTCAAGTTTCTCTGAATAGGAAGTATATATTCTTCTTGGTATTAATTAGAGTAACAACTTTTTTGAATTTGCAGCCTGGAATGCAAACTTTTATTTGTATGACAGATAAAATTGCTTAAGAAACAAACCAAGGCTGGGCGCAGTGGCTTACGCCTGTAATCCCAGCACTTTGGGAGGCTGAGGCGGGTGGATCACCTGAGGTCAGGAGTTCAAGGCCAGCCTGACCAACATGGAGAAACCCCTTCTCTACTAAAAATTAGCTGGGTGTGGTGGTGCATGCCTGTAGTCCCAGCTACTCAGGAGGCTGAGGTAGGAGAATCGCTTGAACCGGGAGGTGGAGGTTGCAGTGAGCTGTGATCACGCAATTGCACTCCAGCCTTGGGAACAAGAGTGAAACTCCATTTCAGGAAAAAAAAAAAAAAAAAGAAACAAACCAAAGAAACAGGATACAGGTAGTTGAGTATCATCTTTATCCCAGGGGAACAGGATACCTGGATGTTTAAGCATTTGCAGAATCAGACAGTTTGAACTTTGAGAAACTGTCTGTGTCCTCTTTGCCTGTGACCACTCTGGTGATACCAGGCACAAATATTCTAGGAAAGGCAAAGAACTCACTAACATTTTGTTGGCTAAGTTGATTAGCAAATATTAGTTTCCTAGCTTTTGTGATGGGCCCCAGTGAAGTTTGAGTACAATTATTTGTTTTCTTACAGACTCCCACTTCCTCATCGGGTAAGGCCATGTACTCTGTGCTTTCTTGCTAAATTGTCTTGGTGATGTTATTAATGTCTAATTAGCTGGATAAGTGAAAGGTCCTAGTGCCATATATTCCTTCTCTCTCTCTCTCTGTTTTCTTAGGCAGAATTAGAGCAGAATTATTGTATTAGTAGAGGCAGAGGGAACAAATTAGATCAGTGAAAGGGTTTTATTTCATATGGAAAAGTAATACCAAGTTGGTTAGGAAATGGCAGCAGCAAAGTACACGCTGAGGGGTGATTTTCTGCACTTAAGTCATTAAGCAATATAAGTCAACTATTAAAATAATAGAACTTGGTGTAAATTTCTGCCAAATATGTTTGACATGATAATTCACTGAGATACCAGTATGGATGGTGGTGATGCTTGTGTACATGTTTTAGGTAGGGCACATGTTGATTCGGAGCCTTCACTGGCCAGATCCTGAAGGCATCTTCATGTTCTCTAAAAATGAGTCGTGTGAAGAAAAGATCTGTGGGTTACATGTAGTTGCCCAAGGATGAGAGAAGAGTATTTACTACAACAACGGAGTAGGCTTTATTCTGAAGTAAGTGTGGATGTTTAAAAATCAAAAGAATAGTTCTCAGCCATCAGAATATTGATGAAGTAGGCTGGGCGTGGTGGCTCACGCCTGTAATCCCTGCACTTTGGGAGGCTGAGGCGGGTGGATCACCTGAGGTCGGGAGTTCGCGACCAGCCTGGCCAACATGGCAAAACCCCGTCTCTACTAAAAATACAAAAATTAGCCAGGTATGATGGTCGGTGCCTGTAATCCCAGCTACTTTGGAGGCTGAGGCAAGAGAATCACTTGAACTTGTGAGGTGGATGTGGCAGTGAGCCGAGATTGTGCCATTGCACTCCACCCTGGGCGACAAGAACAAAACTCCATAAAAAAAATATTGATGAAGTAAAGTACATGTGATCTACCGTGGCCAGGGACACAAATGGCACAGGACCTGCATCGCTAGCTGATGGCTCTTCTTTTTGTAGAGTTGGACCCTGTTGCTTGGGGATCTCTGCCATCTCTGCCTTGGTGTCATGGTTTTTCTTGCCACCAGCATCTTCTCTTCTAGGTATTTCCCCTTTTGAGACCCAAATTCCATATCGTCGGAAGCTATTTAAGTCCACAGAGACTCTTTTCCCCCACTCTCTCAGTTCCTCTCCTACTGCCTGTCTGCACTGTGTGCATGAAACCTTGAGTGTGTGGTCTTGGCCCTTCATGGCCTGCTTCTTAGGCTTCTTGCATGCAGGTATCCTCCTGTGCTGTGGTCCTGCGGAGGGCTGGCTTTGAGTCTCTGTCCTCCCACCCACCTCCACATGCACACAGTCCCTGCCTTGCTAGGTGCTATGGTTGAAGACCCATTGCTTACCTTAATAATTAGTAAAGTTTTTACAAGCATTAGGTTTTTCTTTCATTCATCAAGTAAATATTAATACTATTTGGAACACGTGGCAGTCCCAGTGACTAAAAATATTTGCAGGATCAATGATTTGGTTTGGCCATAGTAGGCAATTTCTAAAATTAAAAAGTGTGGGTGAAACAGGGACTGGAGAGGAGTATTTTTTTCTAGTGATTAATAAACCTTTATTGTTCTTATTGTTTTGTGGTCTTACCCAGTTTATTTGGCATAAATCTGAGAACTTACTTGTTCCATGAACAAAGTTAGAGGTAAACTTTAACAAGCAGTTAGATAGAGGTAATGACCTTTAGATTAAAGTTGCTTAAGACGTGTTGAGCCTCTGTTTAACTGAAAGTCAAGCCCAGGACACCTGTCTTTTCCATCAGAGACATGGGATTTAGGTGGCAGCTGACTATTGATTTCCAATCATGATTCTTCTTCAAGGGGAAGTCTTTTTACCAGATGGTCCTGTTGGGGGTGACATTGTTGCCCTGTGATTAACCCGCTGAACCTTCATCTGGCTTTTAAGCTCCTTGGATCCTGACTTGTTACACAGCTTCTTAATGCTTGTGCAACTGTGTAAAGTGGTAGAATATGAGAAAGGTAGTGAGTACTAAGGAAAAATGTTGGGAGACAATTTATGCTACCATTCATATTTCATAAAAATTAGACCTTGGTACCTGGTGTAAACAAACAGGATAGAACTTGTATGGAAGAATAAAAGGAGCATGTTGGGCCGGGTTCGTTGGCTCAATCTGTAACCCCAGCAGTTTGGGTGACCAATGCAGGGGGATCACTGGAGCCTAGGAGTTCGAGACCAGCCTAGAGAACACAACAAGACCTCATCTCTACAAAAAATAAAAAAAAAAAATTAGGTACTAGAAACATGGCAGAGCAAGAACAAAGAAAAATCCCTTTGGTTGCAGAAAATCTGAAAAAGAGGAAGACTTCTCAAGTCCTCAAAGCCACTCAGGTGAATTAGTCCATTTTGGCAAAAAAGGAGCAGAAGAAAGGAAAAGGGCTCAGGTTTAAGCGACTAGAATCATTCCTGCATG